CCCTCTTTGATAATTAGATAGCCTTCGATTATCTTGCAAGGTGGATGATTCCTTATCTTCCCCCTGTGCCTGCACCTACAGTATTCTAAACGGAGGAGAGTGCAGTATATACTAGTGTCTTATTGGTATGCACTGTATGGGCTGACATGGATACATCACCGGTACGATGGGTATGTAAGGACAGTATTGTTGGAATACTTAGCCTTTTCCGGGTGCTGGTCTCTGTGATCCAGATGAAGCCTTCAGCTAACTCTCAGCTAACAGGCTGCATCCCTGTCGTTGTCCACCCCCGCTGCTTCCACTGCTCTGGGACCTCCGGGCAGAAGGTGGGCGGAGAAAAAAAAAAAGAGAGAAATATTCTCTTTAAAAAATAAATAAATAAATAAATAAAATAAAATAAATAAGAACAAGGGAAAAATAAAACAAATATTAAAGATTAAATTAAATTGAAATATTATAATAAAGGTAAATGTATATCTAGTTCTAGATCACCACCATCCGACAGAAACGTCACGTATGGATGTCAGTTGCAAAGATCCAAGGGGTTAGTATATCATACAAAAAGCAACAAACAAAAAGAACCACACACACACATACTAAAAGGGAAAGGAAGAAGGCAAAGACGAAGACGAAAAAGAGAAAAGAGATAGAGAAAAGGGCACAACTTGCTTCCATACTTACCACTTATCATTGCGAGCAATATCCTGTCAAGTGCCATTCATTACCCCCAACAACTCTCCTTCTCATGATCTTCCATTACTATACTCTTCTCTCTTATTTGATTTTGCTTTCTCTTGACCTTTGCTTGATAGTCATCATTTCATATACAGTTCTCTGAGTCTTCTTAATTGCGGAGAATTTGAGATTCTCTATCCGATCGACCCTTTTGATATTTGCTTTTTAACATCGGAAGATCACCTTCACACCTTATACTTTATTTGCCTGTTCCCGTTCTATTTGCTTCTTTCCCTCTAGCATCGATAGGCGTCGAATGCAGAAACTTCCGAAACCTGCTGTTGACCTTTGACTATTGATCACTGGTTCGTCTGAGAAGGGGGCTCACCAGTAAGGCTTTCCCGTTTTGTTGATACATATGAAAGTGAGGACTAACGTGAAGGCAGCGAAAACAAAAGAGACGAGTAGACAGCAAGGGCGAAGTAATTCTAGGGTAGGGTAATCTGGGCATATATCTTTTTGCTTCTGATCTCGCCTGAGATGGAAACAGCTGAGCCAGTGTCCTATGAATTCTCCGGTCATGCAATCGGCGCTATTGCGCCGCGCCGGATGTTGGCCTCCAATATTGGCCATAACTTTCCCTTCTATGCAAGTCCAGCAGCGTCATTTCCACTGCCATTCCACCAGTCGCCCTCAGCCGCTTATGGATTTGGCCATGCACTCAATCACCACCACCATCACCACCATCAACCTAGCTATCCTCAGTTCTTCGTGGCCAGCCATGAATCGATCAACTCTCAGCCGATGAGGCTCTCGTCAGAGCCACCACCTGTCCAGTCAATCCCTGATATCCGTCCTGCCAAAAATGCGGTCAACCGCGTATCTAGAGATCCGTTGGTCAAAACTGATCCCGGCTCAAACATACAACAGAATTCCATGGCCCGCTCGCCAACCCACGGGGCAGCTACCCAAAGCAAGAGCCCTGGCGTCAGCGAGATCGAATTCACCACCGAGGTTGATATACTTATGAAAGCAATCCAGTCCAGAACTAGTGTCCAGCCGCCGAATATACAATCATTGCCGCCTCTACAGCAATTGACACACAGGGGAGGTCATGGTTATCCCCAGACCCTTTCTACTCACTCATCTGGCAATACCCGATGCACTATGATGGCCGATGAAACACAATCCCGGTCAGGGAAGAGGCGCAAATATGTCTGTACCCTTCCACACTGTGGAAAGAGCTTTGCTCAGAAGACTCATTTGGATATCCATACAAGGGCTCACACCGGAGACAAGCCTTTTGTGAGTAGGAAGAAGATAATAATATACCGGTGATTATCGCGGATCCAGTAGCTGACCATCTTCACTGACAGATCTGTAAGGAACCTTCTTGTGGACAACGTTTCTCCCAGCTAGGCAATCTGAAGGTAAGCTCAATCTAGCAACAATTTGTCTTGTTATGCTAGAGGGAGAAGATAGATTTTGACCATCTTTCTCACCAATAGACACACCAGCGACGCCATACTGGCGAGAAACCTTTCTCTTGCGATATATGTCAGAAGAAGTTTGCTCAACGCGGCAATGTTCGTGCCCACAAAATCACACACCAGCATGCCAAGCCATTCACTTGTCTGTTAGACGACTGCGGGAAACAATTTACTCAGCTGGGCAATCTCAAGGTGCGATGACCCATGCATTCTAGTACTCACTTAAATTGGCTATACTGTATCTAACTGATTGGACAGTCTCACCAGAATAAATTCCACGCGACGACATTGCGAGATTTAACACTGAAATTCTCTGAAGTAGCCACAGGGGAGCCAATGAGCCCGCAAGATAGAAAACTGTGGGAATACTTTGCTATTCTTTACAAGAATAGCAACAAGGGAATAAAGGGTCGTGGAAAGGATCGTAGGATCTCCCCTACCTCTAAACCAGGACCTGGGAAGCGACACCAGACCCTAGGCAACAATGACGACAAGCTGCAACGACCCAGTTATGAGGAGTCATCGGGCTACACCGGGGGCTCAAGTAGTGATGAGGAGGATGCGGATACCTATTATATTGATAGACAAAATCATTGACCTGCACTGGTCTTTTGTGTCACCCTGTTTCTATTTGTTCTTCCTTGGCGTTGTATTGCAATGTACTTAAATGTTCTACGATACCAGGTTTATGTTGGATTTTTATGGGAATCTCCACGATCGAGGCAGCATTGTCTCTCAGTTTATACAAAAGGCTCTCTGCGCACTACTATTGATTTAAATGATTACTGGTACAAAAAATTAAGTTCTGTTATATGCATCGTCGGTGGGTGAGTATCCCACACGTCGCCGCAGGGAGCAGCATCACAATTGCGAGGCTTCGCATGCCTCGGCCTGAAACCACATGGGCAGACCTCGGTCCTTTTAGCCATACCAGTTCTCAAATTTATGGTAGTAAAACGTCTTTTTTTAAAGGCGGAAGCGCACTATGCGCGTGATATCAGTTCGGGTAAATATGCTCGGGTGTTCTCATATACCAAAAAAGTGACCCATGTACTTGGCAGCACCCGAAATATATTTGGCCCCAGACCCTTGTAGAAACCGGCCACTCCCTCTCTGGCCCAGATCTGCAAAGCCGCATCTTGAACCCCCCGGTACATAAGATGAGCATCATAAGTTTGCAACCGGGACCGCAACACTTGGTATGGATATGTGACAAACCCGGCGAATATCTTCGAGAGACTAGAGATGACGAAGAGATCTAGGTTACCGAGTCCTCGCCACCGCACCTGTGCTGATCCCGCATAGCCATCGCTAGACATCGTCGCAGATGACATCTTGATCCGGTGCAGTTTCAACTTTTCGTAAGCCATGAACTGGAGCGCACCATGGCTTACTCCAAAAAGAGCTGGAAGAAGACCACGATAGAAGCCTGGAATACCCTCCTGATGATATATCTGTGAGGCTCCAGTGGTGAAAGATGCATACGCTCCAGGCGTCCTAGAACTAGTCGATAACATACGAGTCTTAATGACCCATATGGGATTTGTCAATATAGATGTCAGCATGCCTGATGTAAAGAACCGATTGAAGTCAGTCACCACAACGTCCAGATTTACGAGCCAAAGTTAAGGGTTCTAGCGTACCAGCGGCCCCTGAGGCAAGAAAATAATCGGAGGATGTAAGTTCTTCCTCCCGAGAACCGCGCCAAGTACGCATCGCAGTCTTGATATTACCATAGCACAAGAAATAAAGGGCCCAGCTGGTCGAGTTGCCAATGATATTGGGCGTCAGCCCCCGGTAGAACGCTGTGATGCCGCCTTCATTCTGGTATATACCGCGGACGACGCGAAGCGAACCACCCACTCGAGAGGATGAGGATCGGTCAACTAAGTCATTCAGGGGTGAGGAGATTTAGCCACTATCGCACACACTCATCCGTCCCAAGCGAGTGTTAACTCAATCGAATGAAGAGCAGAAGTAGGGGGCAGAGAATTGCATGCGTATACACACAAGGACTGACTTACCTTGCAGTCGAGTTTTGATCAAATCCAATGGATGGAGACACAACGTAGAAACAATTCCAGCCGTGAATCCCGCTACGCTCTCCACAAAGGATGACGACAAGCCATCCTGCCCGTTCATGAACCTTTTGTTATTCCTCCCTGGGTTGCGTTCGTAGAGCTTGGTAGAGTGACGGATGGTGGGTTCCGTCATCGACTTTTTCGCCTCCTTCGGTCTGCGTATCGATTACAGTTCGGCCGCGGAAATTGCCTGTTCGCGCCTAGACCAGGAAAGTAGTCAATTTATAGATAACAAGGACCTTTCTCAAGCCAACGGCGAATTAGCTGCGATTTGATTTGGATATATGTCCAGTCAATTAATTCGATTAAGGAATGGTCAGAAGGCTCAAGGTATGTCGGCTATCCAGGAAGTCCTTTTATCTCGTAGTAATTCCGCTCTTGCTTATTCACCTAGCGCTTGACAGTCATCTTCTACAGATCGAAGCACAGCTCGTATATGTTTATCATCTAGAAAGTACCCTGATATAAATAAAAAAAATTCTTAAAAATACATGGTGTCAATTTGAAGCTCCCAATCATCGACACAACAAACTGAACAAGACGGACTTCCCATCCTCCGCTCAGCCATGAGTTGAAAACTCCCGTTGTAGGCGAAAGAGGCACAGCAGAAAAAAGAAAACCTCTCAGCCCTGAAATATTGCTATTTGTTATCGACAGATCCTTGGAGCTAATTCACTTTATGCGAGCGGTGAAAATAACCTGGCCATAACATCAGCTCCAATTCTGATATCGGGTAGGCTAGGGAAGGAGTTCGTTAGAAATACTTGAACAAAGATGGTTTGGGTTCACTATAAGTATAACCTATCAGCTTAATCAGTACAGATAGTTCTCAAAACATCCACGTCGCAATAAAAGGAAGTCCCCATACCAAGATACACAATCAAGGGCAGATATCCGCTGCACGCCTAGTCAGTTTTGTCGCATCTCACGGAGCTTATGTGTCGAACGACTTACTAGTGAATAGCGACCCTTGAAACATCAATAACCTTGGAGATGCGCTCCTAAAGGGAAGAAGATTATCAGCGATCGTTACGTGGTTCTGTTGAGGATTGTATGTCTAACCTTGGTCTCTTCCGAAAACTGAACCATTGTGATAGTCACGAAGTGTGTAGGTATCCAGAGAGCTTTACTGGGAAAGACAGCAGTGGATATTATATCTCAAAAAGGATCAAATCTTGGCAAATTGGTTGAGGGTAGAATTTCCAAAGCAAAAGGAAAGGATGTCGGTCAAGTAAAAGCGGAGAGTAGTTGGCGGAGAAGAATGAAACACGACGAAAGCTCAAAACTTTTCGGGGGCTAAAAACAGCTTGCCGCTGATAAACCCAGCGGCAGGATTATTGTATTCACCCTACTCCCACCTTTGTTAAACATTGATTCGACACTTCTCGTTTTACCACAATCACTGTCTGATAAAGTTTTGTATCATATTATCAACAATCTTACACATTATCTCCTAGCTACTTTCTGCTAAGCCGTGTACCTACCGATCATCGCTACGCTACATAAGCGCCACCATGTCCGGTGCAAGGCATTGGTGAGTGGCTGTTTTCCCCATTTTAGGGGTTACAAGAGTTTCAGACACTAACAGCTGCTATAGGGAGCAGGATAAAGAGGCCACCGTCTACATTGGCAATCTTGATGAAAGGGTCACAGATAGCCTGGTATGGGAGTTGATGCTGCAGGCAGGGCGCATCGTTAACGTTCATCTGCCGAAAGATCGAGTCACACAGTCCCATCAAGGTTACGGGTTTGTTGAATTCATCAGCGAAGAGGATGCAGAATATGCATCCCGAATAATGAACAGCATCCGTTTATATGGGAAGCCAGTACGCGTGAACAAAGCGTCTGCTGACAAGCAGAAGTCGGTGGAAATCGGTGCAGAACTTTTTGTTGGGAACCTTGACCCCATGGTCACGGAACAAGTCCTTTATGACACATTTAGTCGGTTTGGGAATTTGGTCAACTTACCGAAGGTAATCTCGACTATCTGCCCTTTCTTCGGGGTGTGGGCTAACCTTGTCGCAGATTGCACGAGATGACAATAATCTATCAAAGGGCTATGGATTTGTGTCATTCGGCGATTTTGAGTCATCGGATGCCGCCATAGCAAACATGAATGGCCAGTACCTCATGAATAAACAGGTCTCGGTACAATACGCCTATAAGAAAGATGGCAAGGGTGAACGCATGGTGATCAAGCTGAGCGGATGTTAGCTGCGCAAGCCCGCAAGCATAACGTACGCCCGCCGACTCAGCCATTACCATCACCATTCTCAGGTTCAGGAACCCCTATGGTGCCCCCGACTATGGCCAATGGCGACAGCTCTAGGCCGATCAGCACTGGACCTCCTGACCTAGGGATGGGCAGAGGCATTGCGCCCTCTAATGTTGGTTTTTCGAATGTGCCTCCACCGCAACAACACAGGTCTGTTCCACCTGTGACACCTTTGGCAAATCCACCACCAGGCTTGCCAGCGCGGCCTCCACCTTCACAAGCCGGCTATGGCGGTCCACCGCAGGCTTTCTTACCTCCAGCCTTCAACAATACCGGTCAGCAACCATCTTTTCCTCCACAGCCAGCGCCACCTCCAGGCTTCGCTCCTCCCGGCTTTGGCCCTCCTACTGGGAATGCTGCTCCCCCGCCACCATTACCCCCAGGATTTCAGCAGCCAGCATATGGTCGGGGCCGATGAGTATTTGGCTCAATGCGTTAGTTTTGAAGTCAGACCCCTTTCCAATGAGTACTGGGTTCATAGGGGAACTGCTTGGATATGATATAACAATTCATCAGAACAATAGGCCCGAAGAGCTACGTGTGAAGCGAATACCCTTGAAAACTGGAAGAACCAGACCCCCAATCTTCACCCGGGGGCATACCGGCCAATCAATAGCCCCGATTTCAGTACTGGACTCAGATTTAGCGGAGCACACAACATGTGTATAATGGAACCTTCCCTATTGTTCTCTTTTCTAGTACTCAGGGTTGCACCTTTCATTAGGTGCAGACATTGCATGAAATAGAACCCGTGGTTTTAATGCATATAGGCAGGTCTCTTGAAGCTCAGATTCGAAGGAAAATGGGAATCAGAGGCAAGGCTATTTTAAATAAATTGCTAGGTGAAAGTGCAATCACGAACGTCGATCCTTAGTGTATCTATAGCAGGTACTTGGCTTTGTGCATTAAGGATATTTATGGCTTGAATAGGGGGAGGGGGAATGAAAAAGAACTTTCATCTGAAGTCTCGCAGACATATTGCCAGGGCCCTAGAAAAGAGGGAGGAATGAGGAAAGGAAAAACCATCAATGATTGCATGTAATATGGTACAGAAAGTGTCTCGTGGCTAACGCCATGTTATGAGAATGAAACAAACTTCGGGTCCCTGGGCCGGCCGTCGGGTCCAATGTTATTCTTAGCAAAATGCTGCTCGGTATATATCCGGCGAGCTTCATCAAAGTCTGTCTTTTGGCGTTTCATGATCTTCCTGATTTGTCGTTTAGCTTGATTATTCAACCCAGCCCTAGTGTCTCCATCTGCAATGTTGGCGGAGAGGTCAAACTGCGTTGATGTCAGTCCCGCCTCTAGGTCATCGGCGAAACTAGAAGGTAGGCGATCGTATATGTAATCAGGAAGTGGGACTAAAGACAACCAACGGGCCCGGGTAAGATAGAGGACTTTAGACTTGTCAGCATGATACCTAGACTCGTCCATAAGTACGTTTTGGATTAGCTTGAGTGCAATATACCTGTACCACAAACCACCACAGAGATTGTTAAAACGTATAGAAGATAGTACGCCATGGCGACTAGGCCAGTTGGATGGCTGCGAGGCTGCTCAAACAACAGACAGTGCGAGATAATGTTAATGGCTCCCCCAATACCGGAGGTGAACGGCAAACTGTTGCAAAGCTCAAGTTGCCAAAACTTCTTTTGAAATTCATGAATGAGGAATTCTCGACTGGCAGGCAGCTGCCACCGTCAGCAGCATGTGATGCTTTAGGTTGGACCCAGGAGAACCCGGTAGCCTGGAGGTCTACTAGTACGCCGTAGAACACGGAGAGAACTGTGAACTTGAAGGCTAGGAAGAGACAAGTGGGTCTGTGGCTGAACACTTCCTCGGTGCCTTCGATTTGAGGCAGCAACCCTGTTTCCCTGCGCTATTCCTAAAGTGGTCCGCTTAGCGAGACCGCAGACTGCCATTCTTGGCGCTGGCACACACAATCCACCGTTCAGTATACCAGCCTTTGCGTCGACTGATTTCGATCCGTCCTCAATCCACCAGCCTGAAAGAGATAATTCACAATGGCCGCCCAAAGACAGAACGTTTCCAGCGACCTAGTCTGGCAGCTCACCCGTAAGTTTACCTCTTCTACGCCATACTCGACATTCATACCTACTCTCCATCTACGTCAATTAATCTGATGCTCTGGATATCCAACTAATCCCTAACATTTTGAACAGGCAACCAGAATGCTTTTCTGGTCAAGCGTAACAGCGGCGGTGGCTCTCAGTTCTCCCGTGATCCTTTGAACTTGCAGAATAAGCACTCTTTCAAGGTACGAGAGCCCCGATGCCTATGATTTTCATACAGAGGCTGTTTTCATTTTCCTTGTTCTCCTAGCTGAAACTTCTGATGACTAACCATTGGTATCGCTTCTATTCAGCACGCTGGATACGCCAACACCAAGGTATTCACGCCCTATAACTACCGATGACTGAGATGTATATCCGGACATGTTTTTTAACCCACGATAACAGGCTATTGGTGTACAGGCCACTGAGAACGGTGGCGTTGTTGTTATTACCAAGAAGTCTGGCAATGCCCAGCAGCCCGGAAAGAACGCCGTTCGTGTGACCTTTGGACCCAAGTCCTCCACCCGCAAGTAAGCAGAACCGACCGCCTCACTTTTCATGGGCGAATAATCAAACATCACGTGCCTGTGCTAACTGCGTGGTTGTTTTGCTAGGATCTACAAGGGTGTTGCAGACAAGACCGCAAAGAACGGCTACCGTGCTGACCTCCGTGAGGACGCTGTTGCTCGTGTGAGCGCCATTCGCCGTTCTCAGAAGCCTAAGAAGGATACTCCTCCCCAGAAGCCCAGAGGTGCTCAGGCCCGGAAGGCCGCTGAGCAGGAGTCGGCATAAAGGACAGGACTCGAAGACGAGTAATCGCAAGGGTTGGGCGCATCAAGCATAGTGGCGCCATGCTGGTCAGGGGCGGAAGTGCCCATGTAATTTAGCAATACTGCTACCGGGGCAAATGTGCACCAGGCCATTCAAAAAGAGAATCAAAAGAACCAAAAAGACAAAAAAAGAATCACGAGAAATGAATACCCATTTCCCCGGACGTCCACCCTTGATTTACCTAGTCCAATTGGCGGGGGAACGATCAAACTCTACAATGTAATTTCATTCTCCAGCTGGTATTGTGGTCACAAGACTTGGCACATGCTTATGGCAACAAACAGAACTCTACAGCCGATGTTCGGGCCGACGGGGGACGAAAGGTTTAGGGATAAGCGCGAAGCTGTTTTCCTTGAACCGTAGATAGGTCCAGACCACCCGCCTTTTTCCGAGGTCTCAACGACCCAATGGCACAAGACCGGGTGATGTCCTCGGGCATGGTAATACTAGTAGGATCCATGAATAGAGGGATTGCCGGAATCCGGGCCGTCGACTTGTTCGGGGTTAAGGACGTAGTACTGGGATGGCTAGGATACCTATTATTTCCATGGATCCAAACCATGACTACGGACACTATTTTGTTTGTTGTATGTATGACATACAGACTGGTATTACATGCATCCTATCATCAGGTACGCATGTACCTGAGAGGCAGGTACAGGACGTACAGTACGGTGTACATCGTGCTGTGCAAGACCCCCTCAATATGCAAGCAGTGTGCTATGAGGAGATTGCCGGAATCTGTTGAGCAGTAGTACTGTAGTATCGGAGGCCTGGGAAAATGGTGTAATTCGTATTGGTCTAGTGATACTAATTGCTGTGGATATGATGATCAAGTAATGTATTAGGTACTCCGGACTCAGTAATGTGGTTTTCTCCACATGTGATTGATCTTGGGGAACTGTCAGTCATACCTAGAAATCAAGAGACACAAGAGCTATATATGTGTAGGGATTTTCCTCAGAAAGGATTACTCCTGGGCGTACAATCCCGAGCGGTTTATACGCGATTCCTTGATTGCTTCCGTACCTCCCCCCTCTCCCCCGCCCCTCTTCCCCCCCCAATTTCCTTTTCCTTTTCTTTTCCCTCCTCTTGGCTTATTTACCCCTCTTTCCCTGCTTTAACCCAGTGTTCCATCCTCCTCCACCACCACCCCACATTGACGGTCTACCTCCCTTTCTTTATCTTCCTTGTCCTTCGAACTCCCCAGGTCGCTAACACATCCCTTCGCTTATAACGGAACAGACCAATTCAATTGTTTGATTCAAAAATCTCCATCATGGTCAAAGCAGGTGAGCTAGCAATCTTTAGCAAGTGACACTCCTTGGGCACTAACTCGAAGTGCTAGCGGTCCTTGGAGCTTCTGGTGGCATTGGCCAGGTATATCCCTATCCCCGACCACCATGATCTCAATATGACCTTGTTTGATACTGACTATCTGTCAAGCCACTGTCTCTCTTGCTGAAAACCTGTCCTTTGGTTGACGAGCTTGCTCTATACGATGTTGTAAACACTCCTGGTGTTGCCGCTGATCTCTCCCACATCTCGTCTATCGCTGTACGTTGCTGCCTTAATGCGAATTGCCCATGGAAGGGGCGAAAAATGGTATCTAACCTGAGTGATTAGAAAATCTCCGGCTTTCTGCCCAAGAATGATGGGCTGAAGCAAGCCCTTACTGGTGCTAACATTGTTGTCATTCCGGCCGGTATCCCTCGTAAGTTCCTACCCTATCGCATTTCTCCTCGTATATTTCGCAGGTGATTAGTTTTCTGATAGTTGATAGGCAAGCCTGGTATGACCCGTGACGACCTCTTCAAGATCAACGCCGGCATAGTGCGAGACTTGGTCAAGGGCATCGCCGAGTTCTGCCCCAAGGCCTTTGTTCTGGTTATCTCAAACCCCGTTAATTCTACTGTTCCTATTGCTGCAGAGGTGCTCAAAGCTGCTGGCGTCTTTGACCCCAAGCGTCTCTTCGGTGTCACCACCCTGGATGTCGTTCGTGCAGAGACCTTCACCCAAGAGTTCTCGGGCCAGAAGAATCCTTCTGATGTTAAAATCCCAGTTGTGGGTGGCCACTCTGGCGAGACCATTGTCCCCCTATTCAGCAAGACTACTCCTGCAGTTCAGATACCCGAGGAGAAGTATGACGCACTGGTCAACCGTATGTAGTCCCAAAGAATCTCATGAATATCTGGCTGTAACCCCTGACCTTGCTCCAGGTGTCCAATTTGGTGGAGATGAGGTGGTCCAAGCTAAGGACGGCGCTGGCTCCGCCACCTTGTCTATGGCCTATGCCGGTTACAGGTAGGAATACTAGCGTGCCGTGAAAATACCCGCGGCTAACACGCCATAGGTTCGCCGAGAGTGTTATCAAAGCTTCGAAGGGTCAAACGGGCATTGTCGAACCTACCTTCGTCTACCTGCCTGGAATTCCTGGTGGTGATGAGATTGTCCAGGCAACAGGCGTGGAATTCTTCTCTACTCTTGTAACCCTAGGAGTAAGATCCATTTCCTCACAGAATCTTCTTTCATATCACGGTAGGCTAACACTATCAAACAGACCAATGGCGCAGAGAAGGCTAGCAATGTTCTAGAGGGCGTGACGGACAAGGAAAAGAAGCTCCTCGAGGCTTGCACGAATGGCCTTAAGGGAAATATCGCTAAGGGCATCGACTTCATTCAGAACCCACCACCAAAGTAAACGCGCCCACCCCCGTTTATCAGCTGCAGGATTCCCACCCAACAGTCGGTAATTTGCCATTTATATCGCACTCCTGTCTCCACCGAAAGGACCTCGTTCTTTCGGTGACTTACTTTCCAATTCACGAAACTAAAAGAACCCCGCTAATCATTGATACCTGGGCAAGATAGGCTTTGAAGCATGAGATTATTTAAAGACGAATGGATAAATGTGGAATCGTGTCGTTTCGGTGGAAGAGGATAGCAAAGACAGGCAGAATGGAAACGAATTGTACTCATACCTGCACGCACTTGTCTCAATGTACTGTAGGAGCAGGAAGAGTGACCTGTGACCCGATTGTAGAGCATTAGCCGAATCGGCTACCCAGTCTATCTGGTACTGGGCTCGATTTTCAGACCGTTTTGCAGTGTTGCCCCTAGCCTATCTCCACTGTGATAATGGACATCTCGATGACGTACGGGCCAGCTGTTCGCATTCCATTCATGATTTGGGTTGGACTGTTTTGATCTGAAATGTTGCTCCCGGAAGCTCACCCGTCTCGGCCTGAACAGTAGTATTAATTCCCAGGGTTGATAGAGCGCCACGAATGACACCACACGGGAACCATAGATACTAGAACTTGATTAGACAATAACAATTATTAGCCAATTAAGGGGCCAACTGGTAGTCCCATACCGCCTGAGCCATGGACACCGCCTCGCTTCTCACAGACATGCTCATCTTTGCAAATGGCCGAAATGAATTATCGGTCAGAACATATACTCCCTATATGAATTTGTCAGTCGGCCCCTTCTCTCTCAATGCAGGGGTTGACGTGCGACAATAAAGTTGTATCCATATGGCGACGTGGACGTGCATACCCGATGATTGGTTTTCAAATTATCGACCTGTTTTTTGAAAAGGATGGTCCATAAGTCTTTGCATAAAAACTTGATAACATCAAGATTATCCGAGAATCTAGGGCGGTCTCGAGAGAATCTATAGAGAGCATAGCACAAAAACACTTGGTTAGCCTGGGTTTAGAAAGAATTGAATGGGCGGATATTCTTGCCCCATAGCACCGGAGCTTACCTTTCTGCAAGACCTTGTCCAACTCTGTATCCAAGAGATTCGAGGCGGAAAAATGTCGTTTCCCTAATCTCATCATCGTCGGGAGTCTTCTCATCGGCTGAGAGTTCCTTCGCTAGGCGTTCTGCCATAGGTACCAGCTCTATTAGGAGGAAATCAAGACATGAAGCACTTAGAGCCCGTGCTTGAGGCTCAGAGATACTGTACGCTGAAGCTGGCGCATCGAACGACATCACGATTAAACTTCGTTGGTTGTTGGCCCCTTATGAAGATGAAGATGGCCCCCGAGATAGGTCTGCAGCTGGTTGGAGCGCAGTAACAGCGGTTATCTTTAGGAATCAGTAATCGTATCCCATACCCCCTCCATAAATATCACGGGACAATTCTGATTCAATTCCACCACTGTGTGACAGAATGAGTGATGGAAGGATGGTTGGTTCTTACCTCATGTGGCCACGGCTGATCTCCGTTGATTAAATAAGTAGTAAAGAGTGTCGGCAGCAGCGGTTCCGCTTCAGCCTCAATTGAATTTGATTTTATTGACCTCCCCGGTTCACAAGCAATTGTCAGAACGATTAAGGTAACTAATTAACTCTTTTATCTAATGTGGGTGGAATTGGCTGCTCATGCCAACACGATTGCCCTGCTAAGAGTCTACTTGAAAGATACATGCATAGGCCACGATTCATGAAACATAGGTCCGTCTCTTTCTGCTCTCACAACTATTCTTCGAAACTTATGCTCCCCGAAAGAACCCCATGCCAGGCGAGGTTTTGCTACATTGAAGCCAGAAGAGCAAACGATAAAACATAGAGTATGATTTATCCCATATTCAAACAAGATGTGAACGAATTCATTCTCCAATCGAACTTATGCAATGTTATCAAACTCCGTAAACCAAATACGCCGCGACGCCGTTAGATGCTAAGATTGATAAAGTGAGATTATGCATTATAGCCACTTCTTTGGGTTGGAGATTCAGAACTAGTTTGACCAGCACGAGGAGCAGCCCTGCCATTTGCTAGAGCAGTATTATATGAAGTCTGAAATTCTTGCCGGGGTAAAGATCGATTTAGCAAGTTCAAAGCTGGCCGTTTTGGTGGTCTTACGGGGGAACCATCGTCATTATCGTCATCGCTCCCCGTAAGGTCAATCACCTGGGCCGCAGGACGCTTGTTTGTTGACAGACGAGCTACAGATGATGTCGATGAAGGCTCCCGTGATTGAGCTGGGGTCTGTTGTAGAGATAAACTTGCGGCTGGAAGAGACTCCTGTTTAACGGGCGTGCTTCCAAGTTCCTTTATCTCTATTAGATCATCATCATCTGACTCAGGAGTAACTCCACCAGCTTCTGAAACGTCGTCGACTTTCGGATTTGACCATCTGCCGTCTGGTTCCATAACAACTTGCTCAACATCTGGAGATGTTGAGCGAAGTATATCATCAACATACCTATATTGTCAGTACCAGGGCCAAAACCAGAACCTCTCCACGTTGAACTTACTGATCGATTTGTAATGACTCAAAGCTGGTCGCTTTGGAACACACGGGGCATGACCACGTTGGGGCCTGTTCTTGCAATTGCAGGAAAGAGAATGCATCAAAGCATTGATTATGAGTGCATATTACCGAGCGGCAGGGGACCGCGATTCGAAGAGTAGATAAAGGACACTTTAATGACATAACACTAGATGTTGCAACGATGTCCGTGTCATCCGCTCTGCTTTTCACTGCTGGCCTTTTAAAATTGGTCCTCTAATAGACACCGAAAAAAACGAACATACTTTCTCGTAGTACTTGGTCCTTCGAGATTATCTTCCTCATCTTCAACTCAGCTACAAGTTCCTCAACTGGATGCCGCTGAACGAGACTGACAAGCACAAAGAATCTCTAATAGCAGGTCAGTACTAGAGGCTTTGAATCAGAATTGAGAGGGTGCTAGATGGAAAGGGAAAGAAAACGAGATAGAAATTAACCCGGGTTCAACGCTTGCCTTTGTAGTGAGGGCATAGGTCATAACAATATGATTCGGATATCCAGGTTTCTTGCGAATATAGTCAGTCACATCAGCAGGTCTCGTCGTACCTGGTTTGTTTTTGAGGCCTCGCAAGTTAGCCTTCACCTCATCAAGATTTGCTTTCAGCTCAACTTGGTGAGGGAAGGCAATATCCGATTTCGTATACTGATTAAGCCCAGTGTCTGCAGCACAGTAAACCATTATCCTTAGGTTCGGGTCGGCCTGTAACCTTGAAGCTACATCTTGGTTGAGAACCACCCTAAGTTCTACACTGTCCCTAGTCTGTTCGCGTACTTTGCGATATTAGATGGGAACAGGAATGGCAAACTGAGGAGCAACACCTGAAAACTCACCTTTGCATTCTACAACAGGTGTGAGCTGCTGGATCACAGTGTAGAAAGGACTTTCTTTGAAATTTAACCGGCCTAGAAGCAAATGAGAATTGATCCCGGAATGTAAAAACATGAAGATTGGCATCGGGAGGATACCAGAAGTGAGTCCATGCGACGCCATCGGTGCGCTCAATGGCGATGGTCGGTGTTGTGTTGGCAAGGGTTGATTAGCTGAAGAAGACTGATATTGGTGACTAGGTAATGACTGCGGCGTTGAAGGCTGCGGCATTGATCGATGTGCCGTGGCGTACACGGCTCTCTTCAAGTTATCGTAACGCTCAATTTGTCCTCCTTGGTTGAGTCTCTCAATGACTAGCGGATCCAAATAGTTAGCTTTCTATACATTTGATCAATCTTTGTGTACTTCAAGTGAATATTATTGGAAGCCCCGCTGTCTGGAAAACAACACCAAGAAACTACAAGGACAACAGACAATCAATGATTCGGAGCTGAAGTGAAGCTTTCACTCCAGAAACAGCGAGCCCCTCACTTCTCAGTATCTCCTTTAGCTGCGCATTCGTCATTGTTTTCACCAAAGCAACCACGCTTTGAAGCTCGGACGACTGGCAAACAGAGGCCATGATGGTAGTAAGAGCGGGGCGATCGGCTGTTATAGCATTCAAAGAGTAAGAAGAATTTCAAGAGGGGATTCCAAAACAGGCGCACAATATCTGGCGACTCCGATAAAAGACATCTCAATCCTTCTCTTTACTTAGTTTGGCGAAGGCAAAAAAGAGAGAAGATAGATTAAAATTCCAAGAGTAAACCTCGCTTTGGAATACTACCAGGAGACTGATTTAATGAAAGGAACAGAGCTTCGATTGGCACACACCCCGGCTGGGATTGCTTTGCGACTGGACCGGTCGGCGATGATTGCGGAGGTGAGAAAACGGTCTCCGATAGGATGACATAAGATATCCACCGCCCGTAATTTACAACAGTGGTAGAGAAGACAGACAGAGCGGCTAATCCAAAGAGGGAAGAAAAAAAAAAACTTAGGAAAGGCCGACCACGAAAAGTGCAAGACTGAATAGACTACATTGCATAACACATTCACAGAGTCATTCTCTGCTTCTATCAAACTTCTTATTACTTGGGATAAGGCGTTTATCTCAGTATTTTATTCATCCTTCCTTTCTTCTATCATCGACATGGCAAAAAGTGTCCGAGCGAGTGTCCAAAAGCGCAACAGAGCGAAACTGCGAGCCACAGTCTTTGGGCCAGTTGTTGATGCACGAACTGAAAGACTCTCTGCTAAACTGCAAGAGCTTGCCTCCCAGCCAAAACCAAGTAATGAAGAAAAATTAGATACGGCACTGGACATGAAGGGTAGGTTTCCCCTCCAATTTTCTTTGGTGTTTATCTAAGTACCCTTGTATTGGGCGAGGAACTCACAAAGTCATTGTGCTATACAGATCGCCAGGAAGGGACTAAGATATCACAATCAAGTGAAGGTCAGTCTCACATACGCCCTCTAGTCAATCTTTCTGCATATTAACGGCTCGCTGTATCTCTAGATATGGACATTGATAATGGCTCCATTAAAACTACTCAGAATCGCTCTCACAAAGGAGGGCGGATTCATAAACGCCACAGCAACAGAAAGAATCGCTCGTCTATTGTGTTCCGTCCACACCAGTCCAAGAATAAGGGCCCGAAGAGGAGGTAAAAGTTTTAAGCACTATTTGTTTATAAACACTAAGTTGGCGTTCGGGGTTATCTACAACATACTCTCATCGTGTTTCCGTTATTATCAATAACTAGTAGAATTTATGATACCAACAGCGTCACCAGGGGGTCCCATCGATTTTGGGGCCAATCTACCCGCCTCTGAACAAGGGATCAGACGAGGCTAGAATGTTGCCGACTTGTATTAATGTAGCCTCTACCGTGCTGTGGCCCAAGAGGCGATCGTAGCTCCTCTTCCTATTGAGTCCTTACAGTGCTACCTAGTGTCGGGAACTTGGCCAAAAAGGAATGCCGCATATGGATAACTGCACTTCCTCAAACAGAAGGCGGTGTGATGAATAGGTAGTTTTGTATACAGTAGCCCGATCGAAGTATACCCCTAATGAAGTTGACACTATTTGCTTGAGTTTAACGTTACATGGACAGTATAACAGATCCGGACATGTCAGCTTGGGTATGGTATAGGCCAACATAACTTGCTTGAAATTGCTCCAGCTTGTAGCCTCTGCCACCGAGAAATAGCCATGAAGGTTACGACATCGAAGTGGGCGATACTCATCGCGAACATACTCGTCCCCATATCGATTCTCGTCTTTTCCTCTGGGTTTTTCCCTTATAAGACTTTGATTCCGGGCTTTGCAACTCATGAACACACCAATAACAGTCAAATCCCGCCGGGCATATTTGACAAAGTTGTTTTTATGGTAGTTGATGCACTGCGGAGGTACGATCGCAAACTTCACTAAGATCCCGGCACTTCAGGCTAACTTTCATGCTAGCGATTTCGTTTATTCCCAAAACTCTGGGTTTCTATTCACTCAAAGGTTAGGAGGAGGATTGTCGTTTGACCCCACACACTAACAAGAAGTCCATAGCTTAATTCGGTCAGGCGCTGCTCTCCCATTCACTGCCTATGCTAGCGCTCCGACTGTCACAATGCCCCGGCTCAAAGCCATAACAACAGGGTCCGTGCCGTCATTTCTAGATGTGATACTTAACATTGCAGAGGCTGATACCTCGGCGACTCTCACGCACCAAGATACATGGTTAGCACAATTGCAAGCAAAAGGTGGTAAAATGGTCATGCATGGGGATGACACTTGGCTGAAGTTATTTCCTGGGATGTTTCACAGAGCCGATGGAACTACAAGCTTCTTTGTGTCGGTCAGTACACTCCAAGTAGCATTTCCAGACTTGCAGTCATAGACGAGCTAAGCATTGTTGTAGGACTTCACAGAGGTAGACAATAATGTGACTCGTCACATCCCCAGTGAACTCTTGCAAGATGACTGGTCAGCTTTCATAATGCACTTCCTTGGTCTTGACCATATAGGACACAAAGCTGGGCCTAATAGGTAAGGTGCTACAACCACTACTGTATTTTGTGACATTCTCTTGACACATCTCTAGCCCATACATGATAACAAAGCAACATGAGATGGATTCTGTTGTTAGCATGGTGTACACAGCTTTGGAGCAAGAGAAACATCTCAAGACAACCCTCTTTGTATTATGTGGTGACCATGGGATGAACGATGCTGGGAATCATGGCGGTTCGTCTGTGGGCGAAACTTCACCAGCTCTGCTTTTCATATCGCCTAAATTTCAGCGACTCGAAACTCGAAACGATAGTCCAACGGAAGAATTCAGTGACCTGCAATATTACCGTACTGTTGAACAAACAGATATCACGCCGACACTGGCGGGGCTCCTAGGCTTGCCAATTCCCTTGAATAGCCTGGGTGTCTTTATCCCAGAGCTTCTTATGATGTGGGATTACGGTAAGGGTCTCTTATCATTCGGACTAAACAAAGAAGCTAATTTATCAACCCTGATCTCGACATCAGGACCGCACAGGATTCATATGCTACTCGAAAACGCCAAGCAGTTGCTGAAAGCCGTTAAAGGATCGTTTCCGAGTTGCAGTTTTGAATCTAATTTGATGTCTACTAATTGTAGCTCTCGATCATTCACCGATATTGAGCATGTTCAGTGTGCTTGGTTCCGAGTGCTTGAACTACTCAATGGCTCGGGTGCTGATTACGATCGTGGAGCCTCTTCAGAGGTCGAGTCTGCTCTTCTGCTGTTTTTGAGGAGTGCCCAGAGGCTAATGAGCAGCGCCGCAAGTGATTATAACCTTATAAGGCTCTATCTTGGGCTTTCCATTGCCGGCTTTGCTATCTCAATTACCTTTTTCCCAGTCAAAAGACTGCTAGTGAATTTCACGCCGGCAGGAATGTTTTTGGGGTTTAGCATTCTAAGCTATAGCACCATGATGTTTGCAAGTAGCTACGTGGAAGAAGAACAGCAGTTCTGGTACTGGGTATCGATGGGATGGGTGGTTTACCTACATGTTAAATATGCTGGTTACTTCCATGGCTGTTCAATCCAAAAATCTGGTCCAGCGGAATACCGGCCATTTGTACCCTCACTTCCCAGGTTTGGTGCAGCTGCGCTAGCAGTGTCTTATCGAGTTCTGCGAAGATGGAATCAAACAGGCCAGAAATTTGCTGCTCAGCCGGACATTACCGGGTCCTTTTTTCCTTCCCATCAGCATACTTTGTGGGCCTTGGTGATTCTGACATACGCTGATACTTGTTTGCACCTTCTATTCGACCTTCCTACATCGGTGCTTTGGCGTTTTATTAGTTGTGCGGTGACGCTGGCAGCATTTCTTTTCAAGTTATCATTGGCGGCATCCGACTCTCCCGAACTTGTCGGTAACTCCTTCTTGCAGCCCGTGGTTAGGGTGACTGATGGAATACACCTGCTTTATCATGCAAGAATGGTTCTTTGTGGAATATCTCTTCTCATGATATATTCCATGTGTGTTGGAAAACCCCGGGGATCGATTCACAAGGGCACTGGCAAGTATTGATCTCAAAAACCTTACTGAATGATTCTAACAGAGAAAAGGGCCAACTAGCACAATCTTTCATGAGACTCTCACTATTTTTTTACTGATGCAATCGAGAGTGACGAACATACCCGCTTTTCTAATTTTTAGAGTACAAATCACCATCATCGCATCCATGCGTTTATCAACTGTGGAACAAACCATAACCTCCCTGCTCATGCAATATGTGACATTTTACGCATTTGGAGGCTCAAATGCCATCTCATCAGTTGACCTTTCAAATGCATATAATGGTATCGGTGCCTACAATGTTGTTATCGTCGGTGCCTTGACATTCATCAGCAACTGGGCCGCCCCAATATGGTGGGTCTCAGCCAGTAGGCTGCTCCGTTCCCCACAAAATCGGGAAGAAAAAGAGGCGCATATAACCATACTGACTTTTCATTTGACAACAATGTTAATGTCAGTGATGGCGGCGTGTACAATTCTAAGAACACATCTTTTTATCTGGACGGTCTTTTCCCCTAAATACCTTTACACCATAGCATGGGCAATGATCAACCACATTGTGGTAAATGTACTAGGAGAGATCGATTGGCGCTTACTCATAAAGAACTGAGCTCTCTGCGTTATTATTAACAAGGAATCATAATTGCCGAACAGCTCTGAATCCGCTCGGTGCCTCCAATGGTGCTTAGTATGATGAGCCATAAACAAGAGAAAACGAGAGCCGACAGATTGTAAGAAAAAGCACTACAAGAGACTATCGAAAAGGTCATCAATGGCATCCTTTTTCTTCTTCCTCTTCTTGTTTTTACTCTGTTTTACGGCGGTATCCGTGATTTTGTTCGATTTCTTCGGGCTGGACTTCAGGCATTCTTCTGCCTTTGAACAAGGCTTCTTTAGAAATCCTCCGAGACCTGACAAATTGTTATTTCGAGACAGAACCTCTCCGACATCTTCTGGACCGTCAATCCTAGCGTGTGAAGAAGCGGCCCTAGGGGTTTCTGTCTGAGCCGCAAACTTCATTTCTTTGTCAATTCCTGTGGATTTCGCAAGGCGAGCCAATGTGCCTAATAACACTGCCCCAAGAGTAGAAAACTGTCCATCGGCCACAACTGTCGAGAAAACCCTAATTTATCATTCATTAGTTATCGTGTTCACGTGATATGTCTTCTTTCATAGAACTCACAGATAACATCTTGGAAGAACATGGTTCGCAAGACACTGTATGTATAGATTAGGGGAGTCCGCCGCTCCGCTGGGTGATTGTATACAGTCAAGAGATCGCGCGAGGTTCCAGGTGGTACGCTTTAATAATGACAACCATTTCCACCATTTGGTTCTCTTATGTTGATTCTTATTGCGGTGGTATACCAATTTAAGTATGGAATGCTCAGCATAAATCTTCTCTGCATCCATTTCGATTATGCAACTTGACACAGTAGGTAACCTCACACACAGCTGAAGGGCATCAGACCAAACCCCCTTTCTTCGGGCCTTGCTCTTTTTGAGAGACCGGGTTTCGAAAGGTGGCAGATTATTTAGCTCGTGATGTTTGCAGTCATGGGCCAGCCCTTAAAGAGCAAATCAATTTTTTTTTTTTTTTTGGTTTTGTCCTTCGTTTTTGTATGTATGTTTTCTCCTTGGGATACCTACAGGGAGTGTGTTGTTGGACATAAGATTTTTAGCTCACGGGTAGTTTTCATTTATATTTATGGATTAAATACTCGGCGAATAAGTGCCGGTGGGGCACTGCTACTACAGTAAACCCCCGTTAGTTAACTAACGTAACCGGCAAGCAACCCGGTAGACCCTGTATTCCATATAAAATAGCATATTCTTAAATACCAATATCTCAACAAGTTTTTATTCTATCTATTTATAATTTTATTTATAGCCTATTATATACTACAAAAATAATCTATTAAACTTATAAATTCAGATATCCGATTGGATTGCTTATAACGGGGGTTTACTGTAGTAGAATCCTCTGTACCTGGATAAATGTACATACTCGGGAGAAATCCAATATCTTCGATATCCGAAGTCTAGACGCATCTCTGGCCAAGGCCATGTAATTAATACTATGTTTGGGCACGTCTCAATGTAAATACCTTGCTTAGCTGCACCTTGGTTTCGTAGATTTTCTGATTGGCCATGAATAAACTTTGCAACGTTCAAGGGCATGGGAAGGACCTGAATCTCTCAGAGAAAGGCTTCCAAGGGAGATAAAACCCAACATTCAGACTCAAACCGAGACACCACATCCTAGCCTACCAGGGCATAGAATGCTTTTCTCCTGCGGGTCAAAAACGTCGGTTGTCTCTCCAACTTTGTACTTAGAACAAGGATATGGGAAACATGTAAGACAAGTGAGACAAGTAAAGGGGAATAGAGGGGGATGATGATGTGGGATAGCCTGGAGAGTAATGATAATTCCCTTTTTTGCGCAACAGGCCGCAAATCAGACATATGCGAACAGATCTCCATACACATACTCACTTTCAACTAGTTCTTCTCCCTCTTCTTTTTTGCCTTTCCTACTCTCTCTCTCTCTCTCTCTCTCTCTCTTTTTTCTTTTTTTTTTTTATTTTTTCATTTTCCTTTCTTTTCTTCTTCTCTTCTCTTCTTATTTTCTTGTTTGTTTTCAATCACCAAGTAAGGGTGTACACTTCACAATAGCCCACTAACGAGTGTACCAAATCAAGAGGTCCTAGGACCACGGTCCATAGTCGGATCGTACCACATTTTCATGGCAGGGTAGGTGCAAGGGGCACTCCTTAGACCGCTGCCAGCACCAGAAGAATGCTTTGGGGTAAGCGTCCGAACATACACTATTTCTCGTTCTGCAGCAGTTGTTCCGCGGTCGAATTGCGAGCGACGGCGGCGCTGCTCATCCCGATATTGCTGACCGACTCGCGGAGCAAACAGACCTATGGAATATAACATCAGGTTAATGGCATTTTAATACTGCCGCCATGTATCATACTAACCGACATGCTCAGCATTCTCGATACTTCGACGCATTTTTGATGGATTATCTGGCCCTGGGAAGCGATCCTCAGTGCCAGCAAGAGGTCCACTACCGGTGTGAAAAATCTGGATCTCAGGTATCAGTTTCACTTTCTATGTCTCTAATCATACACCGCAAACCTTTGGGCGAAAGGACGGATGCTCGAGCATGACGGAGCTGTTCCGAAATTTTTGTACTAGACAATCCTTCCCTTGGATTGCTGTTTAAAGCTCAGATGACTATATACTCTCTGTAGATAACTCATGACTCACTGGCATATGATACCTCGGCAACTTTGTCGCTATTGAAGCAATTCCTGTAGGACCTCATTAGCACCGTGGCCCTCCTACTAGGTACTAGGGATTCGTGCCAGGTGCGCCCAGCTCGCATATTTACAAACTAGAAAACAGTAAGTGATTTGCACAAGATGCTCAAATCTCGTACGGCCTAGCACTGACATCGATAATATCAATCGGCTATTATAAAGTTAGAGATGTTAAATCATGCGTGGAGAGTATCGTAAATGTCTTACATCCTCAAAATTTATGAAGGCATACCCGACGCTAGAATAACCTTTGTCAGTGTGGCAGAATACAAGGTTGCATGGCTGAGGTCTAACATACTTGCAGTTATTCGCAAAGTCTTCATTTAGAAGTCAGCTCGTTTTGCAAAAAGTCATGCGCTAGCCATGATCTCTTACCAATACGTAAGTACATAAAGTCATACTTTCCACGGCTTGTTTCATCAACAATAGCCTTGAGCATAGTCTAGTCATATTAGACTGCAGATTTGCCTCGCTAAGCTCGTTCACTTTGAGCTTACCTGATCGATTTTATTCGGAATATTGCGAAGCATTATCTACTCACACCACTATGGTTATGCAATGAACATCAAAATAGTTCAGGGTTGATACATACCGTAGTCCGGACATCAAGACCAAGGCGAATACGTTCGATATCCACCGCGTTCTGGTTACTTACGCGCAATTCGGGGAATAGGCCTATGTCACGGCGGGGAGAAAGCAAGACTCCTTCACCTGCCCTAGACATCCAATCCATGAGGCCAGCGTGCTCACCAGGAGGTACTGTCGAGCGTCCGGTAGGGCTGAGCTCCATAAATGGGGAGCGGTTCGGACGGCTCGGAGTCCAAGCGACATTCTTGGGGCACGGTGTTTCATATCGGAATAACCCATCTCTTGCAGGAGACGGACTAGGAAGGGGATGACGTGGCTTGTCCTCAATATCTGGCTTGAAAGACGAAACCTCAAGAATACACTCCTTTTGAGATAGCGTTAGTTCTTCTCGTTCTCACAATTGGGATGCGTTAGCTCACCTCGACCGAGCTTCCATTGAGTGTAGTCATGACATTTTCTGCATCCCGGGTATTAAAGAACTCGAGATGGAACTCGCTAATGTCCTCTTGACCAGTGGGCAAGGGAGTGAAGGCTTTCATGTCACCGAAAGTTGTGACGATCGTTTCGATTGAGTGAGTGACCGTATGCTGATTCAAGGTAGGGTTTCGAGAATCATAATAGACAGTCACTAGTAACTGGCCTTCATAATCAGAAACATCGGACAGAAGGGACGGCTCTGTATGCTGTACATATTCCTTGGCTGTAAGAGGGAACACGCGCCATTCAGGTCGAAGAAGTCGGACCTTCTCAATCGCCTTCTTTGCTTCACGGCTATCAGTAAAAGAAACGTATACCTTCCCCATGGAGCTAAGCTCTGTGAGTACAGGGCCTTTAAGAGTAGCAAATTCACGCCGCTTCTCCAGGTTAGCAACGATCTCTCTTCGCTCGGCTGCTGGGCTGTTTTCACCAACTTACGTTAAAAAACCCAGCTAGCGCCATGTAAGTAAGGTTAGTCGGGACATTCTCAATAACAAGAGCACGACTGCGCCGCTCGGAATCAAACTTCTCGATGACTGCGCCTGACGGTAGGCTCCTAAACCCTCGAGCACTTCCAATGGTTCCGTAGTTTAATGAACCCTGGTCAAAAGGGTTCACAAGCCCGCTACATATTCTATTTACTTCGGCAATGGAGTCGACAGCCAAATAGTTGGCACTGGAGAGGGCACGGGTCATGGACTGGGCCAGGTTGCCGTTAGCCACAGTGTCTACCATTCCAACCGGCGTAAAAGCTGCTGCAGTCGGTGAAAGTTGCACTCTGGATGTACTTGTCGGCACCAGGAATGGATCGGATGCGGCCCTAGGTAGGTTAGTAACTCTAGTCCAATGACTATGACCGATCTCTACTTGCATAGAGTACAGTTTCCGGAGCCCTGCGTCGCTTACTGGACCATAGGCACTGGACCCATGGCAGCCTTTGGATCGGACATCCTCCGGCGAAAAAGCCGTGAGTTTAGTATCAGGGGATCCATTTGGAGAAGCTATCCCACTTGTGGAGCAAGGGCTACTCATACCACGAGGAGACTCGTTTGCATTCATCTCACGCGGCTATCGCTGTAAAATATCTTATATCTCTTTTCTTTTTTTGAAGACACACTTGATCTGACACAATATGTGATTGAATAGGCAAATAACAACAAAGAACAATGATATCGATCTGTAACCTTGTTACGTGAGATGGGATGTGTAAGGCATTGAAAAGAAGTACTTAGACAGAGGTGGCAGGAAGGCAAACACAAAATTGCACCCTGTCTCCAAGAGAAACAGCTAAGGAGTACTAGAGGGTAGAATGACGACAGAACATATGTTAGAGGAAATCAAGTATGGGAAAGCCAGCCAGCAGCTCACAGTATTAATTTGGTAGTACGGTGCATGTACTAGTATCTTTGATTACATAGATAGCCAGTGCAAACCGCTAGTATTCAGCAGACACTATGCGTAGAATAGGTTTGTACAGGCTACGGTATAAAGATGGGAAACAGCAATTTAGCCCCGGTATAATGGCCAATGATAGGAAGCGAGTGATTCATGCACTCTCATATCAGGCTTGCTATCCTAATGCAAGTTTAGCTTGGTAGTGTGAGTTAACAATTCATTAAAGGCAAATCTTAATACACACCTACTACACAGTCTGATATACACCAGAAAAGGCAAAAGCCTGTATTATAGAGGTGAGGGCATCTTTTACTTAGAGAAACAATCCCTCTCACCTCCTTCTCGGAGTATATACAACATGGCCTTCTGAACCTCAGGCTGGAGAGTGAGAATACCAAAAGAAATCAAGTGAA